AGGCACTGAGTGCCACGGGGTCCCAGCCGTGGTCATAAGTCAGGGAAGAGTTGTCCTTGAAGATGGAAATCTGTGTGTCACCCAGGGCTCAGGTCGCTTCATCCCTAGGAAGACATTCCCTGACTTCGTTTACAAAAGGATAAAGGCAAGAAACAGGGTAAGGAGAGTTTTATTTGCCATAATCCTGTGTTTTGATCACAATCTCTCTGCTGTAGTGTATTGGGGCTGCTGTGATGGCAAACCTGCAACAGCAGCAGGAATATTATCAGTGCTATTTCTTTCTGTGTGTTGTCGTGTAAGTGCCTGGCTCCTCAGTCAAGAATTCTTAGTATCAGCACTAATAATGACAGTTTTATTAGCCTATTGTAATGTTACAAAACAAAAATAGGACTTGTAGCAAAAGGGCTTTTTGGTCTGTATTGAGGTAGAGGGAGGAATTCCTCTCCCAGCTGTGCTAGAGGAGTTTCTGTTGCTGTGTTTCCAGTGTCTGCTCTGCAGCCATTGGCGGGTAAGGGATGTACATCCCCTAGGTACTGGAAATACAGTAAGATAAATCCTCCTGTGTGCTGGCACAGCTTTTAAGAGAGACACAAAGACATGCAAATAATGTAAAGAGCTTCTTAACAGCTCTGTCCTCCTTCCCTTTTCCGTGTGCTATTGCAGACAGTGTAATTCTGCACCCTGCAGAAAGCACAGCAGGAATCAGTAACCCAAATTAACTGCAGAGGCAGGAGCCCCGACTCTGGTGTGCCTCAGGGTGTCTGGGGTGCCTGAAGGCAGGATGGGGATGTGCCAGCTCCCTGCAGGGTGGGAATGGGAGCCAGAAGCTGTAGATGCCCAATCCCTGGAGGTGTCCGAGGCCAGTTGAAAGTCCTTTTAAGGCCATCAACTCCAATCACTCTCCCAGCCCTGCCCAGGCCAGCACTGCCCATGTCCCCAGGCACCACATGCACAGGGCTGTGCAATCCCCTGGGGATGGGGGCTCCAGGCCTGCCTGGCAGCTGTTCCACGGAGAAACATCCCCATGCCCAGACGCTGTCTCCCTGCAGCTGGCCGAGGTGCACGGCGTGCCCCGCGGGATGTACGACGGGCCGGTGCACGAGCTGCCCGCCAGCGTCAAGGCCGTGGCGCCCGGCGCCGGCAAAGCCGCGGCCGCGCCCGTGCGCAACCTGCACCAGTCCGGCTTCAGCCTGTCCGGTACGTGGGGCCGGGGGGCCGGGGGGACCCTCAGCGACAGAAAACCCAGTTCTGCTCAGCAGCAACGGGGCCGAGAGCAGCACAGACAGCTCTGGAATGTTCTGCAGTATTTATGTCAGCGCACGAAGCCTGCCGGGGGCTCTGCTCCCAGGAGCAGAGCCGTGATCCAGCATCACTGGCTCTGCAGAAACCTGCCCAGCAGCTGTCGGGAGAGCCAATGCTCTGCCCTAAAATGACTTCCATAATGGTTTTTTAGCTGATTGGGTCACGTGGGTCCTATATTGTTTGATAAATGTTACCAGTCCCCATGTTTTATTATATACAAAATTTATTTATAGGAAACCCACTTGGAAATCTTCCAGAAAGAAACAATGAAAAATTAAGACATTCAGGCAAATACAGCCATTCCAAACTGTGCCGTGCTTGTAGAGTGTCCAAAGTGACACACAATGAAATTATTAGCATTTTCTGAGGAAAAGGTTTATGGTTGTGGCACGTAAAGCAGTGGGACTGCCCCGCTGTCCGCTCTCCGCAGGGTCACAGGCAGATGACCACATTGCCCGGCGCACGGCGCAGAAGATCATGGCCCCGCCGGGCGGGAGGTCCAACATCACCTCGCTGTCCTGACGCCGTCCCCGCGCCGGTCCCCGCCAGCGCTGCCGGGACGGGGCCGGTGGGCCGCCCTCGAGCTCCTCAGCTGTGCCAGCCCTTCCCTCGTAGGTAGAAAGTAGAGTGACGCCCGAGGCAGCGCTCCCAGCTGGGTTCTCTGCCCGTGTTCCCTCGCTAGCTGCTAGGAAAGCCCTTCCCTGTGCATGCGGCACCGCCACGTCCCCAGCGTGGGCACGGGGCACACCCCGGCTGGATCACGCTCTCTTCCAGCAGCATCCGCTGCCCGCTCCCATCAAAGGACTTCCAACAGCTGAGCACTTTGGTGGTGTCCAGCCAGAGCCCTCCGCCCTGGCCGTGCTCCCAGGGCCATCCCAGACCGTGTGTCCCTCGTTGGTCACAGCTCAGGGGCGAGTGCAGCCCCGTGTCCTGGGGCAGAGTGGTGCTGGCCCTCCACATGCCGTGGGCTGGTGTCCTTCTGCCAGCCTTGTTTTTTAAAGATCATTTATACGTTTTTTCAAGAACTGAGTGTGAGTCCAACAGCCAATACCAGGGCTCGTTTGGAGGCCAGGTGCATGCAACACACTTTTTTATGAAGATTATTCTAGCCCAGTTATTATATTTAAAGGTGTGTACACAGAGTGTGCCTCTGGCCATAGAGCCATGCATGTACCTCCAGGAATGGCTTTCCGTTCTTGTCCGCTCCTTGCTTGGAATAAACTTGGTTGGAAACTGCGAAATGCTGGAATTGGTTCATGCACCCGAGTCCGTTTTGTCGTTTTCTTCCTCTGAGTTTTTCTGGGTGAGGCTTGCACGGTGCAATTCTGACTTGCAGGTTTCTGTGCTCGCCTGGGAGGGGGGAGAGGCTCGTGCCCCTTCTCCCCTTCTCCTCAGCCTGGTGAGACCTCGTGGCACGTCCATGAGACGCTGATTTCCCTCGGGCACCGCCAGGCTTGGGTCTCCAGCTCTGTCTGAGCCAGGCACGAGAAAGGGAGCAGGGGTTGTGGTGGCACAAGCAGGGATCTGATTTACGAGTGGGGGGCTGGAACCACACGTGGCAGCTCCAGATACATGAATCCATGAATTAGGAATGAATCCATAAATGTATACCAGGGAGGGATTTAATTTTTTGCTGGGGATTTTTTTGTCTTTTTTGATTATCTGATATGACCTACATTTCACAGCTTAATGCTGCAGTAATTTCTGTGTTAAGCACATGGGAATGTATTTTTTTGGATGTTTTATATTTAATTTTAAATTTCATTTAATTAATTTCATTTGTTGATTTTCTGATTTTCCCTGAAATTACACCAAGTCCATTAACATCTAGTGGAAGGTGTCGCTGCCATGGCAGGGGGTGGAATGAGCTGAGCTTTAAGGTCCCTTCCAACCCAAGCTATTTACAATTCTATGATCTCTTTTCATCCTGAATAGAGCTTAAATGACAGCAGTGGGAAATCCATAAGGAATGGGAAAGGCAGAAGTCACGGTCTGATGGCAGTGACCTCCCCATCACCCCAACATCCACGGGGTGACAGGGATATCCCAGCACCCCCAGCCTGTAAACACTTAGCAAAGGAAGTTCTGAGGTCCCTGTGCTGCAAACGTCCTTTTCCCACAGCTGCCCTGGTTCGTGCCAGGCCCCCGGGCCATGAGGACCCAGCAGAGTCCCTGTTCCCTCTCCCACATCACCGAGTTTAGGTGCCTCCACCTCTGTGCCAGCCCCAGGCTCCAGCCCTGCCAGCCGTGCCCTGGGGCAGGGAGGGTTGGCATTTATTGCCTCTGTCAGGGAGCTGTCAGAGCCAGCACGGCTGCCCCAGCTCCTCCCGGGGCAGGGATCGGAGCCAGCAGCATCCCTGCAGCTCTCCCGCTGCCAGGAGCGGCTGAGCGAGTCCCACAGCTGCTGCTGATGGAGCAGAGCCTGCAGGAACCCCCCCGTGGCACCCACACGGCGTCTGGCCCTAATTCCTTGGGACAGCTTTCCTGCAGGCTCTGGGTCAGGGACACCCGGAGACGCTCCGTGCCCTTGGCTGACGCACAGCCCCGGCTCAGCCCCGGCTCCAGCGAGGAGCCCCAAGGCCCCAGCTCGTGCCTGGAGATGGGATGGACCCCCAGGTCCCCCAGGACAGCAGTGCTCCTCAGGGATGGACCCCCAGGTCCCTCAGGACAGCAGTTAAATTATTCCTGCACTCAGGGGTATCAAAGAGGAAAAGCTGAGATCTCCTGACACTTCCAGGGGTGCTTTCATTGAGGTCAAGATAAAAAATCCAGGGCTGTACGGGGAAATAGCAAACACCTGTGAGCCGTGGCTGTCGTGCCCCCTGTGCCCCATGCCCTGCCCCTCTGCCCCACCCTGTGCCCCCAGCACCGATGGCAGCAGGGCTGGTGTGGGCACAGCTGTCCCAGGCCCGTGGCTGTGCCTGGGGCTCCCGTCCTCACCGAGACCCCCACCCAGCATGGACAGCGCCCACAGCCCCGTGGAGAGCAGGGACAGCCTGAACATGGAGAGCAGGGACAGCCTGAACGTGGAGAGCAGGGACAGCCTGAACGTGGAGAGCAGGTACAGCCTGAACACAAACACAGAGCAGGGACAGCCTGAACACAAACACAGAGCAGGGACAGCCTGAACGTGGAGAGCAGGGACAGCCTGAACAGCAACACAGAGCAGGGACAGCCTGAACGTGGAGAGCAGGTACAGTCTGAACGTGGAGAGCAGGTACAGCCTGAACACAAACACAGAGCAGGTACAGCCTGCCCGTGAACACAGAGCAGGTACAGCCTGAAGGTGGAACACAGAGCAGGTACAGGTGAACATGAACACACAGCAGGTACACCCTGAAGGTGGAACACAGAGCAGGTACACCCTGAAAGTTGAACACAGAGGAGGTACAGCCTGCCCGTGAACACAGAGGAGGCACAGCCTGCCCATGAACACAGAGCAGGCACAGCCCGCCCGTGAACACAAACCCTGGCTGGCACCCAGAGGAACACACGCCTGGGGCCGGCTGTTCCCCTCCCAGCGCCCGTTCCCAAGGCATTCACGGCAGTGTTCCCAAACCCCCTCCCACCCAGCTCTGTGCTGGCTGGCAGTGTCCCACCAGCCCAGATCCCAGCCGGGCTCCAGGATTCCAGCCTTTGGATGCTGCCATGCTTTCGTGCATCAATACCCTGGAAATGACCCCAAATCCTTGGCAATGTCAAGAGCACACATTTATTACTCCACATGTGCAATGGCTTCCGACGGTATCTGCAAAAACACAACCTTGTCATAACTTAAATATTCTGTGATGTGGTAAAACTGTCATGCAAGAAAATTACAGGAATGTATTAACATAAAATACAAAGATATATTTACATATATCTGCACCGAAATAATTTTTAAAAAATCCCTCCCAAGGCAGCAGAATTTCAGCACTGTCCAGGTTCAAGTCCATATTACTGGTACTTTTGCTATTGTTTTATTACTCTTAGACTCTTTTTGGCAAGCTCTGGAGTAATAGAGAATTGGCAACAGAGGAAACATCAGGACCTGACTTGCCATTTGTCTTCTGCACAAAATTCCCAGTGAAGGCTGTGGAATTCAATGCAAACACATAAAAATATGCAACTTTGCAAAATCTTGTAACACAACAGAGATAAGAAAACAATCTCATGGCAAGTGATTAAAAGAGAATAATTTATAGGTGCTGTAGACTTTTCACAGCGGATAATGGCACACACTGTATAAACCTGTCATACAAAAAATACAGGTATTTAAATATTTATGTACAGAAAATTCCTGTGCTCTGGCTGTAGTGGAGGTGTAGCCCAGAGCTGCTAGTGACGTGAGAGCAGGGCTCTGTCACGACCTCACTGTGAGGTTTGCCCAGCAGCAGCAGCAGCCAGGGCTCAGCCAGAACAAGGGCACCAACACGGGCACCACCATGGGCACCACATCCATCCTTTGTCCCCATGTGCCAGTGGCCAGGGACAGGGAACACCCACGGGAGTGGCACAGGGCGCAGAGGGGAGCAAACCCCAGGACTGCACTGTGGATGGGGTGAGCTGGACATGGGACACCCTGGCAGGAGCCACAAGGATGTATCGGGCCAGCAGGACCCAGCTGGGCTCAGCTGGCACTGGCTCGTTACAGGGACACAGCAATGGGGACACAAGAGGGGCCCAGAGTGGGGCACGAGGGGCCAGGAGGCCCCAGAGCACTGAAACCCCCCACAGGGGTTCTGACAGTAGCACTGAGCTGTTTCCTACCACTTGTCCCTTTTCCACATGCTCTTTTCATGCCATTTCTTCTCCAGGGACTGAGTGCAAACAGGTGTCAATGAAACCCTGTCCCCCACGGGCTCTGCCGAGGTTATGCCCAAATATAATTCACCACCAAAACCAAGCACTTCAGCGATGTGTCCACGGTGTCTCTCCCACGCAGCAGTGACCCACAGCTCTGTGTCCTGGTGCTGTTGCCAGGGATTCAGGTTCAACAGTGTCCCCAGCACATAGCTGGAGATGCACTGCTGGCTTCCAGGGGTGCTGCCCAGGCAGCCAGGATCCACCCAGAGGGTTTCCCCTGGGAAGGAGCCATTCCCTGGCATCCCCCCAGAAGCTCTCCTGGTTTCTGCCAGGTGCCACTGAGCTGTTTTGCACAACGACTGGAGAAGAGGGGTGCTGCAAGGGGAACAGGTGACTGACAGAGGGAGGGCTTGGGCTGAGAAGGCTCCGTTTCAGAAGCAAGCCAGCTCCTCCCCACACACACCAACCCCCACCGCAGGGCCCACTTGTCTCTTGTCTAAGGAAAGCGATGCAAACATCAATTACACATGTCCTGGAACTGCCACACCTCTCCCGGCCTGAGAGCTTCTGGCTGAATATGATGTATCTTCATCACTCATCTATGGGGCGGTTTGGTCAAAAAATCAGTGACACTCCTCATCATTCTGATAGTCCAAAATGTTGCCATTATTTACAGGAGGTTTCTAAATAGTGCAATGGAATTCACTGTAAAACCTTTCCCACATGGCTGGAGTAAATCACCTGTAATTCATACCTCCTGAATAACTCCATGGTTTGAGCCTCATCTGCTGTGCCAGGATAGCCAGGGTGTTCCAGCTGGGAGATGTGGGATGGAGACAGAGCGCTGGGGAGAGGACCAGACTGCCCATGGGGAGAGCAGGGGCTGCTCAGCACAGCAAAGGGGCCAGAGCACCAGGCCCACCTGCACACAGAGGTGAGCTCTGACAGGGGAGAGAAGGTAATCACGCCTCCCTGGTACCCAGTAATGACACTGGGAGTTACTGGGGGCAGAGAGGGCAGGTTCCCCCAGCACAGCCTGGGCACAGAGCCAGGGTAGCTGCTCTCCTGCAGCTGGGAGAAGGAGCAGGAGGACAGCTGATTTCAGCCCTCACTCACTGACTGGCCACAGCCCCTGAGCTGTCACTGACACAGCTCCTAACGAGGCACGGGGTGTGCAGGACCCATGGCTGACACCAGGGACCCCGGGCCTGACAGCATCTCCTGTGAATTATTGTGAAAATAACCATGTAATTGGACCCAGAGCTTCAGCTCCCCTCCTCCTGCACACCCCTAAAGACTTCCATGAAAACACGTCTCTGCACAAGTGCAGCCACACACTGATTCCCACATAAAACTGTGGGAGACACACACGCTGTGTCCCTGCCTGTGCAAGATCATTTTGTACCATTTGCCTTTCTGGTCTGTTCATGGAAACAAAAACTGCACCAAACTGGTCCTGACAGAACCCGATCTGTCCAAAGCATCTCCCATCCATTTCTGCACTGGAACAGCCAGCCAGGGCGCACACACCGCAGCCTCCCGGTGCTGGCAGCAAACAGCTGCTGCTGGTGCCATGGTGGCTGCGGTCCCACCACACACCTGGGCCACCAGAGCAGCCCTGTGGCACCAGGGCCTTGGGGCAGCCACAGCAACCGAAACCCACTCTGCAGCAGGTCCAACAACTAACACACCCAAGGCCCCTGCCAACAAGAAAGGCAACACCCACAGCTGGAGCAAGGCAAGATTTCCCGTCTTATTAAGAAGTTAAGACAGTATTGGCAAATTATATACAGTACTTGTACTTTACAGTGAAAATAAAGCAAATCAAAGGATGAAATACAATATTCCTGTCTTTTATAACCAAGCAGCCTTGCAAGGCCACCCACTCTGCCTCCAGCAAAACCTCAGCCTGTGATAAAGTGTGTCCTCCAAACCTGGGCACATGGAGCCAGACCCTCCAACCCATCCCACAGCTCCTCACTGCCCGCAGCAGCCACGTCAAGGAAGAAAACATTTTAAATGCATTCTGCATCTCAAATATGCCTTGAACCATTACCCAGCCCCTGAAGAATCCATGGAGTGCACAAAAAACATTTATTTGCCTTGAATGGGGAAAGGAACTGACAGGTGACACAGGGACAAGGAGGTGCCAGGGACATCCTGGTGCTGCAGGAGCCAAGCAGCTGGAGGCCCCCAGGAGCTGGTGCCAGAGAGGCCCCGGGGCTGCTCGGGTCTGCACAGGGACTGACAATCCCCTGAGCAGCATCTGTGAACAGGGAGTGCCACAGTCAAACTCACGCCACTCGTGGGCCTTCCTCCCTGCTCCTCCCTGCTCCTCCCAGCTCTGTGTCTCCTGCTCCTTGTCGCTCCCCGTGGGACCCAAGGACATGGCTTTATTCCCCGTCCCCTCACTGCATTAAAAACGTGCAGATCAGCAGCCTGACATTAAAACAGAAAGACTTATTTCAGTTGATCTCCTCCCCTGACAAGTTGCATAGGCCGTATCTTTCCCCACGGGCAGGCACGGCTCCGGGCTGGCGATCCACGGCCCGGGGCAGTCCTGTGGGACTCTGGCTTGCTCCAGACCCAAAGAGAAGCTGAGCTGGCGATCCATGGCCCGAGGCAGTCCTGTGGAACTCTGGCTTGCTCCAGCTCTCAAGGGGAGCTGTTGATCCATGGCCCAGGGCAGTCCTGTGGAACTCTGGCTTGCTCCAGCTCTCAAGGGGAGCTGTTGATCCATGGCCCAGGGCAGTCCTGTGGAACTCTGGCTTGCTCCAGCTCTCAAGGGGAGCTGTAAATCCACGGCCCGGGGCAGTCCTGTGGAACTCTGGCTTGCTCCAGCCCCAAAGGGGAGCTGTTGATCCACAGCCCAGGGCAGTCCTGTGGAACTCTGGCTTGCTCCAGCTCTCAAGGGGAGCTGCCGGCGCTGTCCGGCGGCAGCGGGGCGGGCTCGGGTGCTCAGCGCACCTGAGGGCAGGTGAGGTCGGCCTGGCCTGGCCTAGCTGCTGCCCGAGGAGCACACGGAGCTGCACATGTGCAGGGGCTCGGCCTCGGCCTCGGCCTCCTCGGTGGTCTCAGAGGCAGACACGGAGTCGCTCGGCTGCTCTTGGCTCTTCTTTAGCCTGTGGGAGTGCAGGAAGCAGCATTACAGAGCTGTCCCCCAGGCTGTCCCCCAGGCTGTCCCCCAGGAGTGGGCAGGGGGCTCTGGGCCAGGTGGGCACTCCCTGCTCAGAGGTGCCTACGGCAGAGCCATGGAGAATGAGGAGTGCTCCCAGAGCTCACAAACAGAGCCCAGCGTATCAGCAAACCACACCAAACTGCTCTGGAAGGCCCCAAAACAGCCTGCAAGGCTTCAGCCCACCCAGACCTCAGCCACGAGCACCCCCAGCACTGCCAGGCTCCTGCCAGCCCCCGCTCCACAGAGCCTGCCTCACGCTCTGCTTACGGACCAAACAGCCCAGCCTGGGGGAGCACTGCCTTTAATCCAGCACTGCCTTTAATCCAGCACTGTCACCGCCTGCTTATTCCCACCAGGGACTTCTCCAACCTGAATGATCCCACCAATCTAGTCTATGTGTTAAAGATCTCCACAATCATTGCTTGGCGAGTCCAACCTTCCTCACCTTCATTTCCCAAAACATCATCTGCTAAAAGCAGGCTGGGTGAGGAGGTGCCATGGGGGAACAGAGGCAGTGTCACACACATGTTAAACCCCAGAAGTCTCTCTACAGCATAATTTATTTAATGGCAGTTAATAATCCTTGATCTTGCCTCCCTTTGTGGCTAGAGCCATTTTTCATACACAGGCAGCATCTGAGCTCCTCTGCTGACACCATTCACCCGGGGCTAAGCCAGCAGCAAGGTGCTCCTGGCTGTCAGGCACTGTGGCACTGATTCCTAGGGGAAATCAGAAAAAGTAGTATTTTTCCCTAAAAAAAGCACCTCACACACTCACTTCTCTCTGTTGAAGATTACAAAGTCCTGCTGGATAGCTTCAAGGCATTCCTGGAGATAGTCATTTTCCTATTGAAGAAAAACAAAACATGCATAAGCAGCCCCATCTGCATCTCATTGCTGCCTGCAGCCCCCCAGCACTCCCAGCTGTGTGCAGGAGCCTCCAGCTGTGGGCAGAGCCCCACCCCCTGAACCTCAGCCCAACAGCTGGAGGCAGCAGGGCCAGCTGCCATGTGGCTTTCAGCAGGAGCTGGTGCCATCCATGGCAGCAGTTTTCTATGAGACACAGATCACACCGTTCCTGACATAAACCTAACTTGCTTCTCCACGTATCCTGTATTTTGGGAATGCTGTCAGCCCAAAGGAAGCTCAGGCAGCGTGGGGAGAGCCCAGCACACAGCCCACGTGTGCGAGTCCCTGCCAAGGCACACAGGGAGCTGCCGCCTTGTGCCCAGCCTGGGGCTGTGCAGGGACAGGGGCTGAACACAACGGGCTGCCAGACCTCTGCTGCCCATCTCACTTTCCAAAGTACCCACTGCTGTGAAAGTTTGGTCAAACTTCCAAAAGAGGAATACATGGTTGTTGAAATGGCTCCATGGGCAAATGTTTCATCAAAATAGACCCGTGGCTCCGGCAGTGTAGCCAGAACAGCTGCAATACCCGCCCAGATCCAGCCTTTTCCCAGCTGCACGCCACCCCAGGGAGCACATACAGACTGGGAGCTGTCTTTGCTGTTATCCCTTGACTTGTTCTTCGCGAGCCTCTTCTTCTTCTTGTGCAGGGGCCTCGACTCCAGAATCATCTCCTCCAGCTCGAAGGTGGGGTCACAGTGCAGGCGGCCCTTCTGCAGGGACACAGGACAGCGGGGACTCAGACACTCCTCCCCTCAGAAACCTCTGCTCCCGCAGTGCCCCTGAGGAGCAGCCCCGCTGGGGACAGGGACACGTCCCCTACTCACGTTGGGGACGAAGGCCGGCTCCACGCGCTTCTCGCACACGTCGCTCCAGACCACGGCCGAGAGCTGGGCCGAGGCCTGGATGTGCGCCAGGCAGGAGAAGCGGTGCTCAGGATTCACCGTCAGCAGCTGGGGAGGGAAAAGCACTGCTGAGAGGCGCTGCAGAGAAGAGCGCTCCTGCCAGAGGAGGAGGGCAAGGCAGCCAGCAGCAGCCTGCCTGCGCTCAGCCACGCCAGGGAGCCCTTAGGGGAATATGGATAACTTACTGCAGGAAAAACACCTAAGGACATGCTCTGGGGGGACACGGGGTCCCCTCCCGGCTGAGGGGGCTGCTGGCACAGGCCTCTGAAAGGCTGGATTCCCTGGGAGCCCGGCTGCCCAGCAGATGGCAATGCAAACCCGCCGAATGCACCTCGCAGCCTCTGCCAGCAGCTCCTCATTAATCTGAATCTAATTATGCAAATTGCCCACCCAACATTAACTCATATCAGAGGCACTTATCTGCTGCCGGCACTGGCTTTATCTTTCCTACAGCAAACTCACCAGCTACTTTTCAGAGTTCTCAAGCAAGCCACAGCTAAACCAGCTGCCCCAACGCATCCCAGCTTTCTCCAGCAGCAGCATGAGGAAAGCAGCAGAGCATTCCACAGAGCTGGAACCCCCCAGCAGCTCTCACACCCCCCTCAGACCCTTCACCCCAAAGAACAAGCGAGAGGGACCAGCCAGTGCTGCAGTGCAGCTCCACCTCAGCTGCCATCCCAGCCAGAGGTGCTGCCTTCAGAGGTGGCAGTGACCATGAAGAGGATGGGATGCTGGAAGGCACAATTCCAGGCCAGCTGGGAATCTGACTGTCACACCAAAACCAGTCTTTTTGCTTCCCTTGCTATCAAACATCATGCATCTCATTACAGGGATAATGAACACATAACACATATCACTAATCACAGGGTCCCAGACTGGACTGGAACCAGTGCCAGCCCTGCTCACCCAGTGCCACCCTGCCATGGCAGAGACACCTCCCACTGTCCCAGCTGCTCCAGCCCCAGTGTCCAGCCTGGCCTTGGGCACTGCCAGGGATCCAGGGGTGCCACAGCTGCTCTGGGCACCTGTGCCAGGGCTGCCTACCCTGCCAGGGAACAATTCCCAATTCCCAATATCCCACCCATCCCTGCCCCTGGCAGTGGGAGCCATTCCCTGTGTCCTGTCCCTCCAGCCTTGTCCCCAGTCCCTCTGCAGCTCTCCTGGAGCCCCTTTAAGCACTGGAAGGGGCTTTAAGGTCTCCCTGGAGCTTTTCTTCTCAAGGCTTAACATGCCTAACTCTCCCAGCCTGTCTTTTGTACATTATTATCACTACTCTTATTATTCATTGTTTATTAATAAGCTGACAATTTTCCAGCTAGCCCTGCCTGCAGAGTAGCTGCCATCCAACCCAAACCACCCCAGAAGGACAATTCATCCAAGAATTCATCCACCAATCCATCCAGCGGCAGCCCACAAGGGCCACTCACCTTCCGCAGCAGCGCGACCATTTCCTTGGACCAGGCTGAGGAGTACTGGACGCTGACGGTGCTGAAGAGCTGCACCAGAGACTCCACGGGGTTGTTGGAGTGGATGTCGTACGGCCTCTGGGGACAAGAGCACACAGGTGAGGAGCCCCTGTCCCTCTGGGTCAGCCAGAGCCCGCGACCGAGGGCCGGGACGGCCGGAGCCCTACCCAGCCCCGCAGCAGCTCGTAGGCCATGATCCCCAGGGACCACCAGTCCACCTCGAAGGAATAGCCCGTCCCGCCGCTCAGGAAGGAGTGGAAAATCTCCGGGGCTGAGCAGAAAGGCACAACACACAACAGGTTAGTTGCTGCTCTCCGCTCCGCTGTTTGATGTAGGTCAGTGCGCTACGCTCACGGTGATTTTCCTGCATGGCTGCCCGAGGGGAGGCTGTGCGAGGCAGGGGACAGCAGCCGTGAGCCTGCCCTCATGGGAGCTGGGATGTCAGCCACCTGCAGGGACAGCCCTCCCAGACAGGACAGCACAGCCATGGGGCCCTGGGCCACACCGAGTGCCAGGCTGGAGCCACAGAGGGATGGGCAGCGCAGCAGGAGATGGGATGGGGAGGGCAGGACAGGATGGGGGGACTGGACAGGATGCAATGCAGAGGGCAGGACAGGATGGGATGGGACGGGGTGACATGCCACTCCCCATGCCTTCACACTGGGAGTTCCCTTTCTCAAACAATCGGGCTGTGCTGAACGACTTGGACACGAGCACCAATGTCCTAAATTAACTGGAGGGCCCTGGCTGGGGCAGCGTGTGCTGAGCGCTCACAATGTGACACGAGAGCAGTGGTTGTCTCTTACCCATGTATGGCTTTGTCCCAGCCAATGCTGTCGCTCTTTCACCGTCCCTAATGATGGTTGCAATATTAAAATCTGTTAAATGGGCATGACCTTAAATAAAGACACATTTTAAGAAGGAATTAATGGCAGTGCAGTGGCATGGTCCAGTAAAAGCAGAGCAGCTTTTCCCACACTTTCCCCAGGTAAATAGATACCCAGACTAAAGAATCTGTCCCTGGAATGCATGAGGGAGCAAACAAAGAGGAGCAGAGTGATCCTACCTTGTTCATCGAGGAGGATGTTGTCTGGTTTTACATCTCTGGGAAAAGAAGGAAGATTACAGCAGATGGAATCTCAGTCAGACCAGGGATGAGACTCAATGACAAAAAACCTGCAATTGTTTATCTATCAAAAATTAGGAACAAATGAAACAAAAATATTCCAACATGAGGCAAGCCCCTTTACGATGGACTAGAAATACACTTTTCCTGGGCAACTTGGTGAAAAACTGGAAGGATTAGACTTGTTCAGGCCTCATTCCCAAGAAAAGGAATTACAATACTGGGGATATTTGTGTGAACTCCTGGATGGCTTTAACACCTGCCCTGAAATGTTCAGCCCCCAGTGAAGCATCAGGCTCCCTGTGAGTGGTGGGGGCCCAGCAGCCAGGGGGTGGCCAGGAGCAGCAGGGACACCATGAGCCACCCCCAGGCCAGCAGGGCAGGTGCCAGCAGGCCCAGCAGAGCCCTGGAGGTACCTGTGGATGATGTGCTGACTGCGCAGGTAGTCGAGGGCCAGCGCCATCTCACAGATGTAGAGTTTGACTGTCTCCTCAGTGAACTGAACGTTCTGCTGCAGGTGGTAGCGCAGGTCCCCTCCCAGGAGCAGGTCCACCACCATGAACATGTCCTCCTCGTCCTGGAAGGAATACCTGCAGGACCAGGGAGTGACTGAGCCTCACGGGGCTCACAAACCCAGCCAGGCTTTTCCCCTCTCCTAATCTGGACAAAAGCCAGGCTCTCCCCCTCTCCTAATCACACAGCTCCGGGGAGAACTGCACGTGGCCCTACCATGGGCACAGAACCCCAGAACCATTTGTGCTGGAAAAGCTCTCTCAGACCTTTGAGTCCAACCATTCCCAGCATGGCCAAGGCCACCACTACCCCTGTCCCCAGCTGCCACAACCACATGGCTTTTAAATCCCTCCAGGGATGGGGACTCTGCCACTGCCCTGGGCAGCTGTGCCAGGGCTGGGCAGCCCTTTTGGATAGGAAATTTTCCCTAATTTCCACCCTGAGCCTGCCCTGGCCCAGCCTGAGGCCGTTCCCTCTGCTCCTGTCCCTGTTCCTGGAGCAGAGCCCGACCCCCCGACTGTCCCCTCCTGGCAGGAGCTGTGCAGAGCCACAAGGTCCCCCTGATCCCCCTTTGCTCCAGGCTGAGCCCCTTCCCAGCTCCCTCAGGAGTTCTCCAGCTCCCTCAGCCTCTCCTGGGGCTCCAGCCACTTCCCAGCCCTGTTCCCTTCCCAGCCCCTCAAGGTCCTTCAGTGTTGGGCCCACAACTGACGATGCAGCTTTGTTGCTTGCACCTTCACAATCAAGCATGTCCAGCTCAAGATGCTCACTTGTTTTTTAAATCAATTCCTACATTAAGCAATGCTTCCCTGAAAGACATGAGTATCCCAGGTAATGTCCCCTGCTCACCCTGTCACTGTCCCTGAGCAGTGTGCCATGTCAGCCCACCAGCACAGAGCTCAGGCTCTGCCAGCCAGACACTTCAAAGAAACTTCTCATTTTCAATGTGCAAACAATCTCATAAAACCTACTTAAAATATCTCAGCCTATCTTGAAGATGAATTGGAAAGCACAACTGTTAATTTAACCAGATAAACCAGAAAAAGAGATTTATATTTACTGTGGAGTAAACCGCCTCTCTAAATCTGCCGTGGGTCCCACAGGAGACTGACAGCAGTGGGGATACACCAAAACAACGCTCATTGTTATATTTGGTGACTGCAGCTCTGAGGAAAGAGTATGTGGGATTGTATAATACTTATGAATCACTCACTTCTGCTCCCATCTTAAATGTAGGTTTATTCTAAAACTATGGCCGAAAGGGTTTGCTGTGAAAGCAAGTTCTCTACAGAATTTCATTGCTTGCCGGGAAAAACATTTGCAATTACTAAGAAACTGAAAAATATCAATATTAACTCAATTGGCTATTCTGGAGCAATGGATCAACAAAACAAATGTGACACATCACCCACTTCCATCACTTTGGGTATAAAACTTCCTCAATTTTTAGAAGTGTCCCCCTCCCCACCAGCCTGGCACACATCCAGCACTGCTGGAGTGGGAGGGGACCCTTCGCTGGGCAGGAAGGCTGAGGATGACAGATCATTGGAGCAGGGGGGTCTCAAGGCCTCTGCCTAGGGCTCACCACAAACTATCCAACAACACTAGGATATAATGCTTTATTTTCTAAGACTGTAATTTAGTTTTTCCTGCAAAATTTGATAATGATGTGTCTGATGTCCAAAGGAATGTGTTTTCTTTGGCCAGTGAGCGTGGTGCAAAACACACCAAGGGATGCTGGTGGGCTGAGGGGTCGATGTGGTTGTAGGGCAGATGAGACAGACTGCAGCCTTTGGTACTGGCAGCCTTTGGTACTGGCAGCCTTTGGTACTGGCACTGCCCAGACAGGATACGTTTCCCAGGCATTGCCAACTCAAGCTATTTGTTAGATTTCAACCTGTTTTTAAGAGTGTTTTTTAAAATTAGCTGTTGCTCAGTAATGAGGATATTTCTGCCAGTGCACACACGGTGAAGTAATTATCGAGCAACTTGAACTGTCACTATTTGCAGTGACCTGCTGCTGCAAGCGCTAGGAGAGCCCCTGGGATTATCGGGTGTGTGGCTCTGGGAGCACTGGAGGCGCAGGGGAGGGAGCTGCTCACCAGAGATTCACCAGGAACACGTGCTCGATCTCCTGCAGGATCTCCAGCTCTCGGAACACGTTGCGCACCTCGTCCCTCTCGATGCACTGCTGCTTGTTCATGTACTTCATGGCGTACATCTTCTCCGTGTCCCTCTTCTGCACGATGCACACCTGGGCAGGGAGGAGAAAACAGAGTCAGGAGCACGTTCCACATCCTCATCTGCTGCTCTGGGAGCTGAGACCCGCTCTGCTCAGCACCTCACCCCCTCAAACATCCCTGATCCCTAGGCTGAGACTTGGACCCACGGGCAGCAGCATCCCTGCTCCCAGCGCCGTGCCCAACTGGGAATGCACGGGCTTTGCTCCAGCCCACTGCCCATGGGTAACTGCAGCTGCCTCCAAGGACAGCTTTTCCAACAACTGTGTCTGGGAGCTGAGCGAGAGACCTTTGGGCTCGCTGTGCCTGGATGGAAAGTGGTGTCAGGCAGCCACAGGGTCCCCGGCCAGCCTCGCCTCCCCTCTGCTCACACCGCTGCTGCCCAGCTCCGCAGGGCGGGTCTGACCTGGGCACAGCGCTGGGCTCTGGAAGGGGAACATTATCCCTTTGGGGCAGCAGAAAGTGACCAAAATGTAAATTTGCTACAACAACGAAGGCCCAGTCCGGAGGGATAGCCCAGGCCTGTCCCGGAGCCCCGCTCTGCCGTGGGCATGGAGCACACCGGGCCGGCATGGAGCACACCGGGCTGGCACGGAGCACACCGGGCTGGCACGGAGCACACCAGGCTGACACGGAGCACACCAGGCCGGCACGGAGCACACCAGGCTGGCACGGAGCACACCAGGCTGGCATGGAGCACACCGGGCTGTCACGGAGCACACCAGGCTGGGACGGAGCACACCAGGCTGGGACGGAGCACACCGGGCTGGCACGGAGCACACCGGGCTGGCACGGAGCACACCAGGCTGGGACGGAGCACACCGGGCTGGCATGGAGCACACCAGGCCGGCACGGAGCACACCAGGCTGGCACGGAGCACACCAGGCTGGCACGGAGCACACCAGGCTGGCATGGAGCACACCGGGCTGTCACGGAGCACACCGGGCCGGCACGGAGCACACCAGGCCGGCATGGAGCACACCAGGCTGGCCCTGTGCCCGCCAGGCTGGTATGGAGCACACCAGGCTGGCACAGAGCACACCGGGCTGGCACGGAGCACACCAGGCTGGCACGGAGCACACCAGGCTGGCACGGAGCACACCAGGCTGGCACGGAGCACACCAGGCTGGCACGGAGCACACCGGGCTGTCACGGAGCACACCGGGCCGGCACGGAGCACACCAGGCCGGCATGGAGCACACCAGGCTGGCACAGAGCACACCGGGCTGTCACGGAGCACACCAGGCTGGCCCTGTGCCCGCCAGGCTGGTATGGAGCACACCAGGCTGGCACAGAGCACACCGGGCTGGCACGGAGCACACCAGGCCGGCATGGAGCACACCAGGCTGGCCCTGTGCCCGCCAGGCTGGCCCTGTGTGCCTCCCTCAGCTCCGCTAACGACACCTTCATTACCAAGGCGATGCTTTCGAAAGAGCTAATTAGCTATCACGGTAACTCTTTTTAAATGACTAATGGCATGTCTACACCTGCTATAATTATGTCTGCCCCCTGTTAATCATCAGAGGTGGCGGTAATTAGGACGAGCTGGATATGTTCCCTGGGCAGCTCGGCCGCTGCCTCGGCCGGGGCGGCTGCAGGCAGAGAGCGGGTCCCGCTTACACCGAGCGGAACAAGGAAAGGGAATTTCTGTGGGTGGCAGGGAACCGAGACAGGTGGGAGCTGCAAACACCCCGCGCCTCCAAACGCTGCCACTAATAACCATCTGCAAGTGCGAATGGTGCTCGGTATAATATCATCAAGGACACGCTGCCGCCAGGAGGTGACAAAATAATGGGTGGTTATCGTTAGCCCGATATACCCCCTAATTAGTGATGCACAGGAATTACCGCGATTATTTTCCGCCGTGGTTGCAACTGCGGTGAGAGCTGAAAATCAGCTGCTGCCATAACTCTCTGCTCACCTCAGAGCTCACGATAAGGGCACTTCGTGGGCAGAGTGACCTGAGCTGTTTCCCTGCGAGCAGAGCCCTTCAACTCCAGCTGCCAGGGACCATTCCTGGTACAAACATAAGGGAAAACCTTCTTCATGCAAACTTAATAATAATAATCAACGACCTACCACAATACACACCACCAGCAGGATCCAGCCCCTGCCTAGAGCAGGCTGAATTGGTTGTATGTTCAATAAACCAGGCAAAAATAACTTTATATTTTATAAATTCTTTAAGCAGCAAAACCCTAACAATTTTCCTTTAAAACATGGCCATTGCTGTAGAACTGCTCTGAAAACAATCCAATCCTCTGGTAACAGCCATCAAGGCACTGAGCAAGATTCTCTCCTGATGTCAGCTTATTCCACATTATTGCTGGAAGCTCATTAATTTCTAGGGGCTCTATTTTTTAAGTTGTGACCTGCTGTACCTTAATGAGTATTACATGTTATTCTGATGTCATTTGTTTCTTGTTTCTCCACAGTGAAAATGGGAGCCCAGCATAATAAATGAGGAAATGATGAAAACTTCATGTACTCTGTAATTATGATAAACAGCTTTCTGCAATGGAACAGCATCACCTCCGCACAGAGCAGCACCAGTTCCGGGCACTCTGGAAATGTTTGTTCTCTGATTTCTGCAGGAAAAGTGGATGTCAGTGGAGAGGCCCTCCCTGCAGCTGAGTCTGTGGCATGAGCAGGGGCTGCCCTGTGCCTGCGGGGCTGCCCGAGGGCACAGCGAGCCCCACAGCCAAAGGACAGCGGGGCACAGCGAGCCCCATGGCTGATGGACAGCAGGGCACAGCGAGCCCCACGGCTGATGGACAGCAGGGCACAGCGAGCCCCATGGCTGATGGACAGCAGAGCAGGGCACAGCGAGCCCCATGGCTGATGGACAGCAGGGCAGGGCACAGCGAGCCCCACGGCCAAAGGACAGCTGGGCAGGGGCGCTGTGTCTGCAGCACAGCCACCACCAGGTACCGATCACATCACACCGCTCTTGGTCAGGGTCTAACTCGGGTCAAACCAACACCAGGACCAGGACCCGCGCTGGTGCTGCCTGGCTGGGGTCAGCCCTCAGCCACCTAATGACCCTGTCACAGGCAGCGACCATTCTTAAGGTGCCCCTGCTTACAGAAATGCATGAATGTGTTTGTGTCCCCCCAAAATGGCAGTGACACAAGACATATCTTTTTCTTTTTGTGCTTTTAAGTTCATGCATCTGTTCCTGGGGAAGGAATCAACATCTATTTGGGCACAAGTCAAGAGCATGTTTTTAAAATTAATCCATTCTCAAGCAAGTCAACAATGCAGAGCAAGGCAAGAAGCAGAAACAACTCTGTCCTCGTTCTGCACACTGCAGCCACACAAAGGGAGTGTTTGGTGGTTAAATACAGCCATTAGGAAAACGAGTGGAACAGAGCCAGCCCTGCGAGGCAGAAGGCGGGCAGCAGCTGGGAGTGGATTGCTCAAGACACGGCACGAAAAGCTTCCACAGAGCCCCAGATACCCGAGCACTCGCGCTGCCAGAGGGCTGCGTGCAGCCACCCATCTGCAGGGACAGCTGGAGCCCCCCGCCACCATTCCACCAGGACAGGGGCAGGTGACACCTCCCAGGCCGAGACAGTGACAACAGCTGAACCTCACAGTGACAACACCTGTGCTGTCACAGTGACAACACCTGTGCTGTAATAGTGACATTTGTACTGTCCCAATGACAATACCTGTGCCGTCACAGTGACAACACCTGTGCCATCCCAATGACAACACCTGAACTGTCACAGTGACAACACCTGTGCTATCCCAGTGACAACACCTGAACTGTCACAGTGACAACACCTGTGCTATCCCAGTGACAACACCTGAACTGTCACAGTGACAACACCTGTGCTATCCCAGTGGGACCACCTGTGCTGTCAGCATAGCTGGCAGCTCAGCTGATCCCTGCACTTCCCAGCCTGGCACGCTGCCTCCAGTGGGCTCTGCCTTTTCTCCTTTAAAAATCCAGTAACTTTTTGCCCTGCTGATTCTGAAGGAATTCATCAGGCTGAAAGCCCCACTCAGATGAGAGTTCACCTGATCATCCGACAGCATGTCCTGACTCAGCCTTGTTTTCCCGGGACAGCAGAGTTTTCTGGGCTCAAACAAAGCCCGTGGCTGCATTCTGGGCAGATCCATGCAGCTGGTAAGCAGTGGGGATCGCTCCACCTCGGCTGCACAAAGAATCGTCTCCTCCTGCATATGCAGAGGTCACCCAAAGCAAAGGTACTCGTGGCCCCTGAGGGACGTCACCGTCACGGCTGGTGACAAACCCACAGCTGACTCAGGGATCTGTCTTTGGGTCTGAACTGGGAGCACTGGGTTTCCTTCTCTGATTTCTGCTCCTTTGGCTTCTGCCTCTGTAAGACGAGAGCGATGCCCTGTAATCCTCCCACACACCAACGCTGTTGACTGCGGCTCAGAGCCACGGGGACATTTCAGCGTACAACCTGGATTCCACTCCTTTTGCTTTCAGAGCAGAGTCGAGGCTTAGAGTCAGCCAACACTACACACCTACATCAAACACCTTAATCCCACCCAGTTCTGAACCGTGGCCACTGCTCTAGTTTATAAAAATGCTTATTTGCAGTGGTTGCACCTTGCCCACATATATTGATTTCTCCTCCAGTTTCTGCTGGGTATTTATTCCTCCATGTTTTCCCTAGTATCTACAGAACTGACATTTCCCAGAGAGGCTGAAGTTTGAAATGAGGAGCATTAACATTAAATTGCCAGAAGCATCAGCAGGCTTTGGGACTGCGTGGGGAAAGAAGCCTCTGCTATGGGGGAAGCACGGCAGCAGCTCAGGGTGTTGGGGACACGGGAGAGTTGCAGCCTCCGGAGCAGGAAGAAATAAGTCTTTCATCCTGAAGGACCAGAAGCAGTGAGAAGGCACTTAGCATGATGTAGAAACAGCTCAAGCTTTTTTGACAACTGATTTCATTTTGAACACTAAATTTTACTTTGGAGACAGACTGTAAGGGCAAGGACAGGCTGGACAATTGTGTTCACTGGTCTCCTGAGC